CTCGGGGGCTTTGTCTCGATCCGGCTTCTTCTTCTTTCCCCGTTGGGGCGGGAAAAAAAATAATCAGGCAGGAATACGAGGGCAATCAACGGCAAGTTTGGAGCTTCCTCTGACAGATGATCAGGGAGGGGGAGGAGGGCTGGCAAGAAGGCGCTTTCCCGTGGGTCTTCGTGCTTTGCAGCCCCACCGCCTCCGCTCCGCTCCCTCCTCACCTCCAAGCCAGAAACCCCCCCGCGTCCTTCTCCCCACACGCCGAAGGGGCGGAGGGAAGGCGCCTCGAAGGGAGGCAGGCGGGCAGGCGGGCTTTTCCTGCAGTCGCCAGAAGAGGGGAGGCGGCGGCGGCGGCAGAGGAGATGTCCGAGCGCCTCCCGACCGGCGCGTCACGACGAGGAGGGACCCAAGGAGTCAGGGTGTGGCGTTTCTTATTCCGCCTTGGGCGCCACGCCCGGCTTTGGCTGTCCCCGTCTAGCGTCTTATTAATCTTTGGGGTTTATTTTCTTTTTTCTTTTTAAAGCTTGGCTTCTTCAGCGGCGCTGGTTCTGCGGCCGCCGCTGCAGCTTCCCTTCCTCTCCTGCCGCCGCACTGGACTGGGAACAGCGCGAGCGAAGCAAACCGGGACGCCAGCACGCATGCGCGCTCGCTCCAAGCCCCCCCCTCAAGAGTGTGCGGGCTTGGGCGGAGCAGTCGGGAAAAAGCAAGGGAAAGAGAAGGGGAGTTGCCTTTTTCCCCGGCTTGGCTCCCCGGGGGTCACGTGGTCGGCCGGCTGTGCCTACAAGGGGCCTTTATTGACGGCGGGCAGCAGGAGAGTCATCACCAGCCTCATAAGTCCAGGAGCATCATCATCATCATCATCCGGTTCCGAGGCGGAGGCTGCGATTAGGAATGGAGGCTGGGCAACGGGAGGGCCCGTTATAGAGAGGAAATGAGATGGGATGGAAGGGAAGCGCCTTGGGCAGCTGGTGGGGGGGGGAAGTCGGGGCACTTGGACCGAGGCCTGGAGCCGAGACGGCCGGGAAGGAGGCGCGGGTGGGCAGGGTGACCGGGCGCGCCCCTCCGGCTGCTTTAGCCTCCCCCCGGGAACCACTAGAGAAAGAAAAACAGAGCTCTCCGTTAGACGGACCGTGGTTGCTTTCAGGTATTAGGTTAGCACAGGGTCCCTTGTGGTCCTCTGAGCCTTTACGGAGTTTTAACTCCCTGGCGTTTTATTTTCCAACTTTTTTTTTAAAAAGAAAAGGTTGCATCTGGTAGCCCTTTCATGCCGACCGCTGTACAAACTCAAAATCATTAAATGTAAACTTTTTTAAAAAATCATGTGTTTGTACCCTGAATGTATACTCCCACCTTCTTTTCCAGTATCCTTCCCTTTTTAGAAAGAAATAATTTAATCCGTTTTACCAGGTCTGGGCCTCATCTGGATAGAGTCCAAGACACTGGACAATTGGGGGATGTAGTCTTGCATATCAGGAAGGCACGGGGCTTGGAAAGCCTGGCTTAATCCCATGTGTGTTTTACCCTCCCTCTAAGAGGCTTTGGGTGGCAGAACTGACAGCAAGTTAGGCTGAGATTCTGCGGCTGGCTGGTGTTAGTGCCTTGGCATTCATGCCTGGATGGATGGTCAAAACTCAGGTGTTCCTGGTCCGGGTGCAGTACTTTTCCAACACCACTACACGTCAATTTTTTTTAGAATACCAAGGCCTCTTGTTGACCAAGAGTACAATAGCCAAGTGACTAAAAGAAGATTCATTTGTAGTCTTTGGATGACAGCCCAGCGCCTTGGTCATGTCCAGTCAGTGCTGAAAAGGTCTCCTAGCTACCCCATGAACCAGGAATCCTAGATCCAACATACCAGTACTTTCCACCAGCCTTTGCACTGGAGAATAAGAAGATTCAGATAAAGATTATCAGGAAAATCTGCATACATTACTCATTGCCTCCATACCTGGATTGTGAGTGATGTCCGCGCCAATTCTTATTAGCAGTAACTATTACCATACTTGGTATCAGTTCTCTGTTCATGATCCATTTTATTTATTTAACTTGTATACCACCCCATCATGCATAGCACTCCTGAGGGTGTTTACAACATTAAAATCTGACAAATAATATTCAGTGTAACACAAGCAACACAACACACACTTTCCAACATTGTAGGAACTTCAGTCCCTTTCATTTTAACAACCAGATCTATGCAATGACATATCCCACTTTTCTTCTAGAAAAAAAGGTGCTGTTTCTGCTAGAACTTACAGGTGCAGATCTGTTTCATACAATTTAAGCATGGAAGCTGGTCACATCACATTTAGGACCAGCCTTTGCCATTTAGAGTAAACCTAGATGCCTTGTCTAGTCCTCCCAAAATTGTGATCTAATGCAATATGTTTTATTAGATTTTAAGATATCTACAGTGGTGCCTCACATAACGATCACTCTGTTTAACGAAGAAATCGCTTTGTGACGATGTTTTTGCAATCGCAAAAGCGATCGCTTTGCGATGTTCCCTATGGGGAAAATTCGCTTTGCGATGATCGGTTCCCTGTTTCACTTACCGATCATCGCAAAGCGATGATTTTTTAACAGCTGATCAGTGGTTCCAAAATGGCCACCGGGTAAACAAAATGGCCACCCGCTGTGTTGCCTCGCTTTAGAAGCACTGAAAATGGCTGCCCCTATGGAGGATTTTCGCTTAAGGTTAGTTTTCAAGCCCATAGGAACGCATTAATGGTGTTTTAATGCGTTTCTATGGGCTTTTTAATATCGCTTAGCGATTAAATTGCTTAGCAGCGATTTTTGCTGCATGGATTAACATCGCTAAGCGAGGCATTTTAAAAAGGTGGAACTGAAGAATGTTTCCCTGCAGCTGGATTCTTTTGAGAAGCAAGTGCAGTTTTGGCTGTCCTATCAGGTGGCTGCCTACAGGCGGGTTATGTGCAAGCAGGGCACCATATGCAATATAGAGCTCTGGTGTGTGTATAATGTAGATGACTGACCCTACCACTGCACAGCTGTATAATTTATGCTTATGCTTTCAGAGGTCTCAATAGTTTGTGTACTTGGAGCATTTCCATATAGAGAGCTCCTCACACTAGCAATTAGAAGGCACCATGCAGCTGTTTTCCTCTTTAGTTGATATTCTGTGGTTAAGAAGTCATGGGAAAACAAGGGAGGCCTACAAGTGGATTATGAGGTTACCTAAAGCTCTCCTAAAATTTAGTGAAGGAGGACAGGGCAACGGCACAGAAAGCGCCCCACCTGAAAGTGTTCTTGGAACTTGATCCTATGCAAATTTAAAGATACCTAACTTTGTATAGGAGCTGGTTGTTAAAGTACAAGGGACTGAAGTTCTACTTGGGTGGAAAATGTATGTTGTATGGTATTGCACTGGATATTATTTGACTTATTTTACTGTTCTACACATAGGACGTGGTGGTGCTGCGGGTTAAACCATAAAGCCTCTGGGCTGCAAGGTCGAAAGACCAGCAGTTCGAATCCAGCTGATGGGAGTGAGCTCCCGTCGTTTGTCCCAGCTCCTGCCAGCCTAGCAGTTTGAAAGCATGCAAATGCAAGTAGATAAACAGGTACCATCTGAAAACAGAAATAGAACATGGAGAATGCAGGAAAAGAATGAAGCAACTTAGCCATCATCATCTTAGAACTGTTGAGCTGGAAGGGACCCTATCCCGGCCATCATTCTAGACAGCTGCCATGAGTGCTGTCAAAATTCAGGCTGCCCTCTGCTAGGTAAAGCTTGGCATCCTTTCTCCTGCTGGCAACGCGGGCACCCTATTGTGCTGCCATTTCGGGCTCTTTCCTGGCTTTTTGAATCATGAACACAGACGCTCAATACCCCACATTCATAAACCAGTGCGTGCGGTTTTTGGAAGAACTGAATATTATCTTTTAAGGATGCTCAGATGCCTTGGCTCCTTTTTAGAGGAGAAAGGCAGGGTAACCATCTTTTAAAACAGTGGTTCTTAACCTTGGGTTACTCAGGTGTTTTTGAACTGCAACTCCCAGAAACCCCAGCCAGCACAGCTGGTGGTGAAGGCTTCTGGGAGCTGCAGTCCAAAAACACCTGAGTAATCCAAGGGTAAGAACCACTGTTTTAAAAGATAGATAAATCTATATATACAAATGAGCCTATTTTGTGCTTGTGTTTAACCACGGCTTGTCGTCAGCAGTATCAGAGATCCAGAGAAGGGAGATATTTTTCATGCATCCATGAATAGGGAGGTCACTAACATACAAGGTTAGGGCTTTCCCTTTGGTCAACCTACTTGGCCAGCTCAGGTTGGCAGTGTTCTGTGACCTCACAAACCTTGGCCAGGCTATGTCCTGACAACAGTGTTACTTGGGAGGAGGGAGACCAAGGTCACTCTGTTGAAAGACAGCCAGTGTGAAGGAATCACAGAGTCGATCCTGCGATTCGTCCCTGTTTTTCCGCAAGAAAATTCTGTGTCTCACCATGTTAATCGCTCACTTGAGTGATGGACAAACAGACCCAATCCTAATCTGGACGATCCTCCCAAGGTGGAAGAGAAAGGTGAGTCCAGGCGAGAGAAAAAAAGGCAGGAAAGAACCGAAGTCCCTTGAACCTCCTACAGTATTCTCATGAAGCCACGTCTCCCTCCCATCTTGTAACAAAATGTTTCTTTTTTTCTCTCTCCAAGGTATCGGATGTTGTGCATATCCAACAATTCCTGAATATGACCCTCAGGATTCTCCCAAGGAGGAAGAGAAAGGTGAGTCCAGGTGGGGAAAAAGGGGCTGGAAAGGACTGAAGCCCCTTGAACCTCGTATTCTCATGAAGCCACGTATCCTCCCCCCATCTTGTAAAAAGGTGTTTCTTTTTTTCCTCCAAAGTTTCAGACGTGGTGCTGAATTGGAGGATCGTGGCCTGGGGACTCAGGCTGATGGGGAGATC